GCCATTGTCAGATCTTTAGGCTGAACTTCCTTTCGGGGAAGGGGCTTTGGAGGCAAGCCTGATGTTTGCAATCTGTTTTCCCCCTTTCTAAGTTAATTTCGAATGCCTGAACAAGGATGCCATGGATACTCCGCACTGCTCTTTGTCAGAAATGTGGACCAGTATAGCCTGAGGCTGAGGTTCCCAAAAATTAAAACTATGATCACTCTTTCTGTATTTATGAAATGTGTATAGAATAGAAATCTCTGTGTCCCTGGTAGAACTGATGAGGCATAGTGGCTTAATAAAAAAAGTCATCTTGATATACTTCTTTTCAAAAGAGGACCCCTATATACAGTACCATCTGTACTAAATATCTTCCAAGGCAAGATACTCTGGCCCAACATCTGCGTGGTTCCGGCCACATAACATCCATAAAGACGTCTGCCCCATTGAGGCAGTACAATTTAAATTCCTAAGAACTCTGTTTAATGTACTACACTGTATCCCTAATGCCCTTCTCAGATTAGAAACTAGAATGGCCCCATTCAGCAAATACATGGCTTCAATAATCAATATTTCACTGAAGTTAAACATTAAGTCTATTGGATCAGCACCTCTGATTTTATTAGATAACCATTCCTCAGGCTGGGCAAGGGGTGGGAGGATTGTCATTTTATGGGTCATCCCTTCTAGCTTTGTTACATTTGGGATTTACAAGAGCCAAAGAAAATATTAGGAATTAGATCTGGGATACAGTCTTCCTGTGATAACAAATGCCTCCACTTGTGACACTTATGAGGCAAATTCAGGAGCCTCTTCAGTGACACATGGCAATTCCTTACTTCTCTCTGGCCCTTTGTCAGATGATTAAAATCCCCACTCCATTTCAAGAGGTGAAAGAAGCTGGTGCAGCTGGAAATTCCCCTCTCCTCTGGAGTGAAGGCATCTGCTACCTAGGAGCAGTTTGTTGGGGTGGTGAGGCTAAGACAACCTACCTTACTGCATCAATGTTACAGTGTGATCGGATAGGTATTTAGCCTGCTGTTTGAACTGCTGCAGGCAGGGGCAGGTCCACTCTTTAACAGCGATCAGATTACATCTTTGCTGGAGTGAACCAGCCCACCCACAAAGCGTTCATACCTATGCCTTTCTGACCCTTCTCAAAAGGCTTCTACTTTTTAGGTGTGAGCAGGATTGCTCTACTTTGGTTCATCTCCAGCATGTGTAATTGCTTAGCTTCCTATTGAGCCATACTCTACTTTGGGAAAGGACTAAAGGAAGCCTTCCTCTCTCAATTAGCCAATATTGTGAAGTAGCTTAGCAAAAGAGCCACCTCCTAATATAGGCAAATGAAACATTTACTCGATTTTGAGTTCCTTATCTGTAATATATAAAGAGCACATTGATTAATACTCACCATGCAAGTAATAGATACGTCTACTGAATTTGGGAAATGCAGATGAGGCAGAATTTCGTTTCCATTCATTTTGTCTGTTTTTGAAAAAATTGCCAACGTTTGAAAAATTCTTCATGTTGGTGGGATAGAAAACAAGATTTAAAAACTGGAAAAGCAGGGGAAAGTACTATTGGTAGACTCTCCTATTCCCAGTTTTGCTGAGAAGCTAACTTCATACTCTGCTGCTGACATGAACTACCACTTGCACTTGGAAATGTTAGACTGTAAACTCTCAGGATTGTCGGTCCACAATGCACAGTGTCCATTTAACCAGGAGATTTGTGAGAGTTGTAATCTACAAAGTAACTTCTTTAAACTCTGGACAAAACCTCACATCTCACCAATGACACCACTAGAAATGCTTTCCTATCATCAGCCCAGATGAGCCACGAGAAGAAAAATGCCCAGTATTGAACTATTTTTGATTGATTAGATTAGGCATCCTTCAGTCTCGAGAG